ATTACTACTGCTGCTACTACTACCTCCACTACTATTACTACTGCTACTACTACTGCTATTACGACTCCTGTTTCTGCTACTGCTACTGCTACTGCTACTGCAATTGCCACCACCACCACCACCACCACCGCCACCACCACGACTACTACTACTACTACTACTACAACACTACTACTAGTATTATTACTAGTACTACTAATCAGCTCAGGCTGGAGACGCTGACTGGACATTACAAGAAGGCGAAGCGTACGCTCCCTGGCACCACTTAAACTGAATCAAAATCTGATACCCCTGAATAACTCTTATAAGTTCCTAGTAGAAACCCCTCCTAACCCCTCCATGTGGTATAATGCTGTTTGCCCAGGGCTCTGGAGTGCATGACCCTGGAGAACCGCGCCAAAGCTGCAGTGCCCAAGCGACGTGCAGCGCCAGTAGAGAAGGGCAAGCCGAAGACGAAGCCTGCCGCCAAAGAAATTGCTGCGCCAAACACCCGTAAAACGGGGAAGAAGCCGCAGTAAAGCAAATGCTTTTGACAGCAACTGCTCCTACCCTAGCATGGTGTGTTGCTGCACTGTGTATAGACCACATAACTCAGAGACCCATTTCTTTCAAAGCTAGTCAAGTAAGCAGTGCAGATGGGTGAACACATCTTTTGTGGGGAGAGCAGGCCTCGCATTTCGCTGTGCACAGCCGCCGCATGTTCAGTAGCCTTAGCTGCTGCGTGCCCGCAAAGTTCTGACCTAGCTGGCTTTAGCTTCTGATCAGCTGGATTGGGTGAGAAATGGGGATGGGGCTGTATCAATAGAATGTGACTCATGTAGTGGCTTCAACATGTAGCCTATCATGCAGACTGCTGTCCCAATCCTAATCCGCATCGCAGGTGAGCTACCGGGACCTACTGCAAGAAAGCTGGTCGAGTCTTTGGGAAATGGCGCCTCTTGGTTTAATGATATGTGTACATATATGTATATTCCTAAACCAAGCATGCTATGCATGGCCCCTGGCCAGGATGACACGCAAAAACATGTTTTTGGGAAACAGCAGTGATTTCTGAGAAGTCTGCATGACCCCTTGCCGGAATGACACACACAGAGTAACTTTAATTGTTCTTCAAGGATTTCGCGGCTCATCTAAGGAGCCGGGAGCCAACATCATCCGATTTGCGAAAACCATTGAACAAGAGCAGCCGCTGCTCATGCCTGGTGTTCGAGAGATGGCCTTGAAAGACCCGGCCCATGCGGAAGAAGCGCTTCACAAATTGATTCGCCAATGGGGGCTGGCCTTGCCACTTGACATCCATTACTTTAGCAGAGGGGAGCTGTGGTGCCCCATGTTAAAACCTTCGACCTGGTTCGAATACTTGATTTGCGAGAAGCCTGAGATCTTGCTGGGAGGTTTTCCCCGCAACCATCCAGCAGTTGGAGATTTCCTGGAATCGTTCTGGCGAGCATACAAGTTTGAAGATCCAGAGCATGTAGTCTTTAGTCAGCACGCAGGCGACCTATGTAGATGCATACCGTATTGCATTTTTGCAGATGAAGGACGAGGACTTCGCAAGGCGCCTATCCAGATTGTTGGTCTAGAGACAGTTTTCAACATTAGGTCTTTTCGGGCCTTTCAGAAAAAAATGAAAGCGAGCGATGGACGCTACAATCAACGGCTCCTATGGAGCATTCAACGGCATACTGGTGCAGGATCCTCCCTGACTTCACGTTTGCTTCTGTATGTCCTTCCGCATTCTGCCTACAAAGCCAAGCTGAAACAAAATTGGTATAAGGTGCTAGATGAGGTTGTTCAAGATTTTGCAGGCATCTGTACAGCTGGCTTTCAGTGTGATGATGGCACGCGATGGTTTCCCATCTTCATTGGACTAAAAGGCGATGCCCCTGCTCTGAGCAAAATCGGGCAGTTTACCAGGTCTTTCAATCATCTTTTGGGGCCAGCTGGTGTATGTCACCACTGTTTGGGGGGACGGCCTGAGCATCCGTGGGAGGATCTTTCTTCCCAGGCGACGTGGCGAAATACTTGCTATGTGGAGCGACCGTGGAAAGCTAACAAACCTGCCTGCATCTTGCCAATCCCCTTCAGTGTCGAAGCCCCGGAGAAAGCATACAGATCGGATTGTATGCATTTGATAAAACTTGGAATTGCCCGCCACTTTGTGGCATCGGTTATTGTCGCCTTTGGGGACTTGGATGTGTTTAATGGGAGTGCCTCCAGTATTGCAGCTCTGCTGGAAAATTCTCACTCGGACTTTGTATATTGTTGCAAGCGTGAGATCAAGCAAACTCCGAACCTGAAGCAGTTTACCAAAGACTCCCTGCACTGGCCGCGGCGATCATCGTACCCCTGGGGTGGACACTTGTTATTCTTCGTAAAGATGTTTATTCTTTTACCCTAGTCAACAGGATGAGTTTTAGTAAATGGCTAAATGTCTCAGAGAGAATTCTTCTACAAGGGCCCCATCTACACAAGACTTCATAAGTTTCTGGAAGTTTCAAATTAGCCCAGGTTGGAAAGCAGGAGATTCCTTAATGCTGCTGCGATGGCTGCTGAAACTTGTTTTTGGCGGTGCTGTCATGCCGGATGGCTCCGGTCGCTCTGGCGAAACATTCTTGGATGATGCTACGCATGGACGGGTTTTTCATGCTGTTGCAGATTGCAGCCGGGCTTTGCTGCATTTCTTCCATATCATTCATCATGGAGGTGTTTGGTTGGATCCGACTAAAGCCTTGGACGCAGCCAACAGTATCAACTTGTTCTGCTCTGCTTACAACTTCTTAGCCCGAGAGTTTTATCGCCGCGGCCAATGTGTGTTTCATCTTGAACCCAGCATCCACATGCTGAAGCATGTCCCTCTGAGGCTAGAAGCTGCTGTGAGTAGAGGAGCCCCAGTTGTCTTATCGCCAGCGATTTTCTTGTGCGAGCTTAGTGAAGATTTCGTAGGGCGCACGGCCCGCATCAGCAGACGCGTCAATGGAAGAACAGTTAGTGAAAGGACTGTTCAAAGGATGCTGATCAAGTATCACCACGAGTTAGGGGTGTAAAGCAGCACAGATTCAGCCGAACAAAACTATAGACCCCTGATCAATCTTGAACTGCTTAACATCCCTTGCAAGATTGCATGTTTTCTGCACCCTTGGGCGTGAGCATTCAGGTATGGTAGAAGTATATAAGTCATCAAAGTATATGTAGCCCCCAGCCATGCCTCCAAAGCCCTGATAATTCATTCGAGCAGCGAAAGTGACACGACCAGCTGAAAGACGATCAGCATCGGGAAGGCGCCATGGTTTCACTAGCTTTATTGGGTTATGTTGGGTTCTCTTTCCGAGGATTCTGGGATGTGGGAAGTTCCCAAAATTAGGGTCCCTTTGAAATACCCTAAGTATTATAGGTGATGTAACATATCCAATAACCAACGGATGCCCTAAAATTCCGAGAATATCGCATGTGGTTCTGAAGAAACCTCTGTGGATCATTGGAGCCTGGAATTTCCTTGGAAGACATAGTCCCCCTTAACTAGACAGAATATGGGATATGTGGGTCTGTCATTATATTATACCTGAAGCCATATTCTGTCCACTTAAGGGGGATTGTAAATTCATGTGCTGGCTGAGCCCAGTGGCCCAAAGGGAGAGGTCCATTTCATGTTATCGCCCATGCAAGAGGTCCGATTCTTAATTTCTCGCATTGTGCCAAAGTGACAGGTCTATTTCCAAATCATATAGAATAGCCACCCCGAAAAATGGTATCAAGTCTAAATCAGCACCCACAAAATGGGACGTCCAAAAAAAAGGGGCCACAAAGCAATCCAGGTA